AATATACGGACAAATGTTTTGGGCAATACACATGCCAAGAAGCTTCTGGTGCACAGTTTTCCTGCTGATGTAAATGCCATAGGAGGTTTGCATATCTAGGAAGGAATATCCAGGAGTGAAGAAATTTTACAAAGTAATCTATTGCAACTGTAGTATCCTATTACAGTACTGTGCTCAAACTCAGCGTGCTCTTTAAAACAACCCATTCTTTCACATATGTTTTTAAAGGCAGACTCTGTGGCTAGGTGCTTGATTTTATACATCTGTGTCAATGGAACTGAAAAAATGTTAATTGTGGCCCGATATCTTCCACGATATGGATATCTTTTCTTCATATAGTGTATTCATTATATTCCTTAGAACATTTGAGCAGACCTGTCAATCTGTTACAATACATGCTACATTTACAGGAAGGATATTATATTGATGTTTGGTAGTTCTTATTTCATTAATATGACATCAGGACAACTACCTTCAGTTTTGATACATTACACTGATGTTGTTTAGTCCTTGAAGGCTGGAATGTCAGAGAAGAAGAAAAAAAAAATTTTTTTTTGCTGTGCTATCAAAAATAATTGATATTTGGTGTTGAAAATAAAAACAGATTCAGTTGAAGTATTATAGTTTATTAAGTACTTTTATTTACAGTTAGGTTTATTCACATCCAAAGCACATTTAAAGAACAACACTATACTAGGTAACACAGTAACAAAATTTGTAAACATAACATTTAAATATACAATACCAAAGATATATTTAATTGCTCACAAACAGGAATTACACAACAAACTAATAAACTTGATTTAGTTATAATTTACAGCCGTATTTACAAAACTGGCATTATAATACACTGTCATCAATACTACATAAGTCCTTCATGAAATACTCCCATCCACACAACCAGACGGAGGTGACACACAAGAAGTATGAATCTTAAACAGCTCTCACACTAACGTCTGTCTTATGTGCAACAATCAACGTTCAGAAAGTTCAGAAATTATGGATTTGCTAAAGCCTGGTGTGATACTACCAAGTGCAGCCTCTAATAAGAGGTTGATCCATTCTTGTCTTTACACCCTACAACAATAACCAATCAGTTTTCTTACAAACAGCCTGTAGTAAGGGCACATCAGTGGATTTCATAAATATCCTCCCATCAGAGTTCAAGCTTTCCTCATCACTGCGCATTCAGGAGACTGATCAGTGCATAATTGCCCTTAATCCGCGAACAGATTTGTAGCCATTTTACAGGCCACTGCTGAGATAAGAGCGGCTCCACGACCGCTCCCCTCCTCTGACTGGATGAAGGTGATATCAGAGTGAGGTGTTAGGTCCCTGACGACTTTGTGGAACCTGTCACGGAAACTGAGACATACAAACAATTGGTCAGAACAATCTTCTCATCCTAATTTCTCTCACTTCCTCTTGTGTCTTTAGAACAGCTATCTAATAATTTTTAAGTTTAAGACACAAAATCCCTATACATAAATGTGTTTTGAATCTTCTACTTTCTGCTTCTCCTGTTCACATTCAACTATTTCTTTCTTCTTTTTTTGGAGAATTGACTTTTTCTTTAGAGCAGGTACATCTAATCTCATACGATTAAATTTGTTTATATATTTAAAAGGTTTAATTAAAGTATACACTATTCAAAACTCTAAGAGCATTCCTTACCATGGGTGCAACTTGTAGACAGATCCATCGATGCCCACTGTGATCTTCATGGCTTCCTCGCTGCGTCTCTCCCGCATCAGGTTGATGACACCAGCGAGCCCTGCGGCGCACATGTGAGCAGAGCGAGTGGAAACATTCTCGCAGACCAGACGCACAATGTCACAGTCAAGCTCTGAGGGCAGAACTCCCAGCGAGGACAGGATGTTGTAGATTTGTTTTCTATCCCCAGTGTCACTGTAAAAAAAAAAAGAGAGAGAAACATTTACAAATTCAGCTTCTAGAGGCACAATGCAGAAAATGTAGTGTGTTGAAAATATATTTTCTTTCATTTCTGGTTCCACTAAATATATAAAATTTAATAAACGCCACATGTTTTCATCACATAGACTATTTAATTTTGTCCTAATGAAATATTCCATTGATAAACTCAAGTCATGATCTGTTACTTTCTTCCATCTGTTCATATGCAGATGTAATGCTTTCAGGCATAACAAATAGGATCTTTTGTCATATTTTTAATTGGCAGCATTCCTTTTAAAAAAAGATGTTTACTCAGCCCAGGTTAGGATACTCACCTCTCCACCTGTGAGACATAGCGTGTCTCAAAGCTTCCACGTGTCTTCAGCAGCTCTGAGGCTTCACCATTAAACAGCAGGTCTTCATTTACTAGCTTCATCATAACAAGCCTCACCAGTTCACCCATGTACTTCCCACTGATAAGCTTCTCATATCTGCAGGAGATAAGGGGGGAAAAGAAGAGAGAGAGAGAGGCAATTTTAATGACAGGAAAATATTTTATGGGAGATGTGAGGGAAAACGCGGGCTAAACAGGAATGATGTGTGTCATAAAACACATGAGCAAACAACTGTGACTGGTTGGGGAAAGAATGACAATGGGTTGGGAAGGCGACGCCGAAGCTAAAGAGGCTGAATGAGGTTGAGCTCTCTGCAAAATCTCTGCATAAAAGGTAAACAGCCATTAGGCTAACAGTTACTGGCAAGCAGCAGCAGAGATAGATGATTAACCCGACGTCCGCTTCATTGAACTCATCACTGACGTATGAGGGCTCTGGCCATTTACTACCATCCTGAGGAAAAATAGTGGGTAACTAAGCAACTGCACAGAAAGCTCAGGTGAGGGTCAGGTGAGTACTACCAGACAATGATAATGAGTTCAGAAAAAACATGTAACATGTTGTAAATGACTTAATTTACACTCCACGCCCACCACTTTAAGCCCTTCAAACAGGTGGCAGCCCTGACTGCACGTGTATTCAGTAGACGTTTGAAAATGAAAGAGCTGTGTGACATGTATGCTATATGTTTGAACTAAATATAATGTTCTGCGTTTACTCACAGCTGCTGTCCGGGGTTAATTGAGGCTTCGTCCACCACTCTGTCGTACTCCAGTCTAAAGTCCTCCAGCTCCCCGTTGTCTCCGAAAGCCCCCCATTCTGTGTTCACACACATCCGGCCCTCCTCCCCTTCAACCAGCTCCACAGTCCTCATTTCCTCCATGTAACATGCATTGCAACCAGTACCTGGTAAGAAAACAGACCCACAAACATTATATGGATGCTCATTTCTGTAAGAGTCTAGATATGAGTCAGACTTCAGGCTGGTTGCACGTGTGCATTTACAACTTCTTACCAACAATCATCCCGACTTCACAGCTGCGATCTTCATAATAGCAGGAAATCATCGTGGCAACTGTGTCATTCACCATGGCAACCACATCCATCTCAAAGTCCTGTGTGACGATACAAAATTTTAATTCACAGAATTAAATTCAACCACTATATCTACAGCTGTACTTTTAAGAAGAAAGAATCCTATACGTCCACCCACCCCTCGTCTCTTGATGGCGTCTCTGAGTAAACCCACAACATTGTTCCCTTCTGCACCGGAGGCCTTGAAGCCTTTGGTCCAGTTAAGCAGGATTCCCTGTGATGGTAAAAAAAAAAAAAAGAGAAAAAGTAAACTTTAAATGCATGACCTTTATTATACAGTGGTTTATTTATTATACCAGCACCTACCTTAAATTAACATTACTAATCTTCCTCTTTCCTTTGTCCAGAATATTCACTATCCCTTTGTGTTTTAGTCTCCACACCACTCAACCTGAGCTGTCCCTCTAGCATACTCATTTCTAATCGCGTCTTTACATCTTAAACTCTGCCACCTCCTGTCTATCGTGGGTTTTTTGGTTATTTACTTGCATTCCTGAACAGAAAAAGTTGACTGTTATACTGTTTGTTGGCTCCCATTTGGGTATAAAAAGTGAAATCATCTCTGCTCTTCATTAATTTTTAGTTCTAAAGACATTTTGAAACATTTGTAAAATGTTTGTATAAAATGTTTGTTTTCTTGTTTTTATGACAGGTGGTCTAATAAATAAAGAACTGTAGATAAAAAGCTTCTACAAGTCCAGCAAATAAAGGAATTGTTAGAGGTAGAAGGGTATGAGAGTAAATTCACCCACCTTGTCAATGTCCTCATGTCGTACTGGAAAGGAGAACGTGAAACCCAGAGGAAGCTTCTTGTGCTTGATGTGGTGTTTGTCCAAGAAATCTGACATACACTCTGCTATGTAGTCGAATAGCTGCAGAGATATAAAAAAGTTATTTCACAAGAGTAAAAAAAGAAATGCTTGCTTCTATAGATAAATCGGAGTATTACTAACCATTTCAGCAGTCCCAGTCATGGCATCTTCAGGAATGGAGTACATTTGGTTCTTTGTTTCAACCTTGAAGCTCCTCTCTTCGTCTTCACCCACTTTCACAAGCATCACACGGAAGTTTGTGCCTCCCAGGTCCAGAGCCAAGAAATCACCAACCTCTATTGGGAGAAAACACCATACATTAGTCTTTCAGTGCTACATTAAACTTAAGTTCACATAAACACTGGCAATCCTCTCTTTCAGAAGTCATGACCCACCTGATCCTTCAGGGGTGGAGCAGACATAAGTTGGAAGCATTTTAACGCT